ATTAAAATTTTATAAATACCTCTTCTTTAATCTCCTCCAAACAATCTTCTTCTTTAACCTTTTTCTATATTCTTCAATATTCTTCAATTTTGACAAAATAAATTAAACAAAAATTAGTATTAGTAAATATAATAAACAATAAACAAAACTATATCAATATATTGAAATTAAATCATATAATATAATTATCGGTATCAATAAAATTGTAGCTTTGGAAAAAATTTGAAGAAATTTATTGGAAGATTTGAGATGATTTGAGAAGATAACAGAAGAGAAAATTGTGAAACAATGAAACTGAAGGAAGGGATATGGATATGGAGTTGTGCAAAAGTTTCTATATACGCCACATAACGACGTGAAAATCACGTCGCAACCTTGTCTAGTGATATTCACGTCGCAACACTCCTAACGGTCATAAAAATATTCGTTCTCTCTGCATATGCACTGTAACTTGTCAAGTCAAAACCAAATAATTTCCTCCTTAAATGTTGCGACGTGAAAAACGCGTCACAACTAAATTTTTTAAAAATTTAAAAATCCCTCCATCTGAACATTACAGCTTTTTTGTTGTTTTATTTTAACTTTTTGTTAGCGACGTGAGTCCCACGTCGCAACTAATTTTATTTTTAAAAAAATTGAAACCTTACATTTGAACGTTATTTTTATTTTTTTAATATATAAAGTTATAGTGACGTGATTATCACGTCGCAACAGCTTTTTTTTAGCCACGTGATAATCACGTCACAACTTCATGTCGCTGGGGAACACATTTCTTATAGTGGTGGAGATACATACAATGTTTTCATAATAATAGGATTGTACCAAGGTATAATCCTAAACTCTTACCATATAACTTTAGTGATGGATGTGCTTATGTAGTACATTTAAGAGCTAGCACCAAAATGTGTACGTTCTACTAATGATATAGTCTTGATTGAATAGTTGAAGGAGGAATTAAATTAGAGATTATAGACTTGGAGATGAGTCTTAGAAGTGTATGTCTTTCACCAAAATAAGAGTAAGGTAAAGTATATGGAATGTAAATACTTGGATCAATGTTTGGAAGAATGAAAAATTGTGGCTTTCTCAACATAATAACATTGAAATGGTGTGAGAGATGTTTAACATGAGCAATTCAAAACCCAAGGAGTACTCCACTTGCTACTCGTTTAAATTGAGTAAAAAACAATGTGCACTTATGATTTGAGAATGGCAACCCTATGTTAAATGGCTAGATAAATGCAAATATGACCGATAACATTGATTTTAAAAATCATACTTTGGATACATGATAACTTTTGTAAGGGAAGCAAAGCTTTGAAAGTCAATGCTACAAAAATATATTATTTTTATCTACTAATGAGATTAATTAAAGCGTCTAAAGAACTTTTATAGATGAATAAATTCCTACAAAAATTGACTTTTTGTAAGAAAAGTTTATATTGTTCTTTGACACTCAAAATGCAATTCACCTTAATAGGAAATCTGTAATTTCATTATAAGTCAAAGCACATTGAGGTACAATATAAATGAATATAAGACGCGTTAGAGATAAGAACACTTTCACTTGAAAACAAGAATCTATATTTGTGATTTTTTTTTAATACTCTGTATTAAGTTTTTGTTTACTATTTATATAATTGCATAGGTGTGAGAGGATATGTCGTTTTAAAGACATCAACTTATTTAATATTATAATTTATCAAAAAAATTTATTCAGGACTCTGTGGTCGTCGATAACTCTTAGGTAACTGATTTTACATAATTATATTTTAAACACATAAATATTATTGTATTAATACATATTATATATATATATATATATATATATATATATATATATATATATATATATATATATATATATATATATATATATATATATATATATAATTACCTTTGTAACTATTTTACAGAATTAATAATAATTATTGATTATTTAATATTTGACTTTAATTATACATACCTTTAAAATCACATTTATGATTAATTGATAATATAAAAAAATTATACTACTAATAATAATAATATATTTAAATTGATCTCTCATTTATATATTCTTATAACTTAATAATTTTATTTTGTAATACAAAAGCAAAATATCCCCTCTCCCTTCGTTTCACAAACTTCTAAGTTTATCCATGTCCACACCATATGCTTCTTTGATACTTATGCGACCTTATTAAACATCAAATCTCTTCACCATCTCTAACATTTTATTTTTACTTTTTAATTTATTCCTCTTCCTTCAGGTTTACTTCCTTTGTCTTTTCCACCTCCATTTTGTTCACCAACACCTTGTGCACCTCCTCCCGGGATTGATCCACCTGAGATCGATCCAACTTTTTTTCCTCCTGCAACATCCTTCCCATATCCTCCACGTTGTATCTTGTTGGTCCAGCCACCGGTATAGACTGCCCGTTCACGTATCTCAATTTTTGGTTTGAATTCTTTAGTTGCACCAACTGTTAATCAATAAATAATTTTAATTAATTAAATTTAATAAAATAATAGAGGTATTTTACGTTCTATATAGAGAGAGAGAGAGGGAGAGGTATTGCTTACTATCTTTGGAAGAGTTAATAATTAGTGCACAAAGAAAGAACACGAAGATGAAAATTTTGGTTTTCATCCTTGATTGATTAAGAGTATATTGTAGTGAAATATGAATGCAATATACAATTATTTATAGTGATCATAATAGTTAGAGCTTGATTCGATAATATATATTACACAATAAGAAAGATAATATATATTATTTGGCTTATTATGAGAACATATTAACACCTATTGAGCCATTGAAGGGTTATATATTTATCAAACGGGGTAAGAAGGCTTTTTTACACAATGACAACTAAGAAATGATTAAGATTTTTGATAATTTAGTTAATCATGAAGATTGTTCTAGCTATTTATATAGTATAATAGTCATTATAAAAACAACTAAGGTTGTTATATTTTTTAGTAACATTTAAACTTTAAGGAGTTTATAATCTTATGTTAATAAATATGTTAAGTTACATCTAACGGTTCTCAGTTCTCCTTTTTATATATCTTCTAGACTGGACCTGTCCGTGGTCCAATCACCAGTGAGGTCCAATCCAAACTTGTCAATATATCGTGTTGAGCAGTATATCCTCCAAGCATACCCCAATCATGGGCATCTGGTCGATTACGATTGCTTCCCGCATGTGCCCGCGAGGAATGTCCTCGACGAGCGTATGCTCCACCCGAGCACCCTCCTCGTAGGGATGACTCTCAATCTCTCCAGATTTCACGGAGTCCTCATGGTCCCGGGAAGATCGCGTCTTTATCCTCCCTGTCTTGCGGAGGGAATCATCCAAGTAGGGGGGCACGTGCAGGTCTCCACTACTCACGTAGAACCTGACAGTCTCTTTGTTGGGCCTGTTTGACCAGCCTAATAAAGAGACCTTGGTCCAGCGTCGGGGGCTATAAATACTCTCTATTTCGAGAGAGTCAGTTATTCATTCATTCACACCTACATACATACTTGCTTTCTCATTCCGTCTCTCACTTTGCCATCAGAGTGTCTTGTAGGTACCCCCCCCCCCCCATCTCCTTTAAATCCAGCCCGAAGCCAGTTGTGACGGTCCAACTCTGATCAGGTACGATCAGTGGCACCGTATGTGGGAATCTAAGCTTCCCCGTCTTCTCTCTATTTAAAAGACAAAAGCTAACAATCCTCGACTGTCATGGATGACCAAACTCAAGACAACCAGAACATATGTGTCATCGAAGCTAACAACAACATCGCCGACAATAATGTCGGCCTCGACAACGTCGGCACCACCGGCCATAATACGGTCCCTGGCGTCAACATCCCCGGACCTTCTAACTACCAGGACGGAGCCACAGCTTCTTCTTCATAAATCCCTCCTCGTCTTGAAGAAGATCAACCAGTTCCTCTGAACTACCCAGTCGTCCAATTCCATGAGGTCCCCGTTCCCTCCAGGGCAGACGCCACGACCAGGGCACTGTTCGCGACGATTAACCAAACCAACTATCTCATCTATGCCCAGGGGGAAAGACTGAGAGCACTCGAGGACGACCGAAGGCCCCCTAGAAGGCACATAAGACCTCAATCTCCTCCCCCTCGACAAGCAGTTGAACGTCCCCGATCTCCCCCGCGGAGATAGAATCGGGACATCTCTCGAAGCCCGTCGCCTCGACCAATCGGTGATAACCCCCCTTTGGAGAGGGAACCACTCGTCGATGGAGGAAGGCGCGACCATGGCCCTTCACGGCAAGAACGAAGACCTCTCGGAGACAGACACGGGGGAAACCATCAACGGTCACACCGCTCGAGGAATGCTCCGCGCAACCAGTGCCACTGTGACCGCCAGTACATCGGATCCCCATCCTGTTCCCCAGAACAGAGTGACGAGGACGACCCCCGCGGTCCCTTGTCACAAGCTATCATGGAGGCACCCATTCCCCCGGGCATGGAGAAGCCTCCCCACATAAAAGAGTATGACAGTATCGCCGACCCGATCAACCATATAGACTTATTCGAAGCCATGTTGCACTACCACAACATCGGGGGACCAATCAAATGTCGATTGTTCCCCACGACCCTGAGGAAAGCGGCTATGGACTGGTACAAAGGTCTCACCCTAGGGTCAATCACCACTTGGCGAAACTTGAAGAACCAATTCATCAGCTCGTTCACTACTTCGCGATGACACCCGAAGACCGAAACAGCGCTCGAGGCCATCATCCAGAAGCACGATGAGACCTTGAGAGAATTCATCAACCGCTTCAACCGGGAAGCCATCCAGGTCTCCTGCATGGACCATATGAAGAGATACCTGTTGGAGAGGGGCCTCCTCCCCGACACCAAATTTAGAAAAGTCGTGGGCATCGAACCACCCCAGACGTTTGATGCCCTCCTCGAAAAGGCCAGGGCCTACATGGACTATGAGGAGAGAGAAGCAGCCAACAGGGCCCGAGACCTCAGAAACCGCGGATCCAACAACAATCCGCGACAAGACACCTCCCCTCCTCGACGAACTGGGGAAAAGAGAATGGACGATAAACCCCGAGACTCCCGGGAACAAAGGGGACCCTCGAGAAGGTTCACAAAATACACTCCGCTTACGGCTTCTCGTGAGCGCATCTTATCGGAGTGCGCAAGTACAGATTTCAAGGATGGCGGCGTCAAATGTCCCCATCCAGCTCCTGCCAAACCCGGGGTGGACCGAAGCAAATATTGCCAATACCACCGGAGCCATGGGCACCTGATCGAAGACTGCGTCCACCTCAAGGACGCCATCGATACCCTCATAAAAGGGGGAAGGCTCGCACAATACCGGAGAAACGACGCTTCTCGTCGGGATGCCCATGAGATGAGGGAAGCAGAAGATGATGCCCGACCATTTAAAGAGTCGGTTCCCATCCAAACCGCGTTCTCCGTTACAAGACCCGGGAACTTCTACGTCCCCAAACATTTGCAAGAACCTCTGTCTACACACAGCAGGTGGGAACACTTCCCCTCCACCATGGTCATCAATGGTGGAGGGTTCAATGATTTGACCATAAATTCAGCTAAGAGGAAGCTGGACGATTTGGTCGACACGCCCCCATCCCCCCTCAAATAGTGACCTTTGAACAAGTGAGAGGCAGACCAGAGCCAATCACCTTCTACCTCGAGGAGCTCCCCGGAGGGGGCCCCAATTCGGATATCCCTCTGTTGATAAGGGAAAGAATGGCCAACTTCAACATACATCGCATCCTTGTCGACGAGGGAAGTGAAGTAGTGAAAAACACAAGAAGGGGGGGTTGAATTGTAAAACTGAAAATCAATGCAATGAACAAGATATTTTTATCCTGGTTCGTTTGATCTCAAACTACTCCAGTCCACCCGTCAAGGTGATTTCGCCTCTCTCCAACGAGGTCTTAATCCACTATATTCAACTGAATATTACAGATTGCTTTAACAACTGCTAAAGCCTTCTTGATGCAAACCACAACCCGGTTTGTCAAGGAAACACTTTCTTACAAAGAAGATAAATCTAAGTGTGTGAATGTTTTCTACAAAACTGTATCACAACTGTGATGTATACACAACTTAAAGCTTAGACACTAGATTGCTAAACAATGATAGAATATCAGAATGTGTAATGTTTAGCAAAACTGGGAGAAGGAAGATTTTGATCAGCTTTTTATGCGTGTAAAGATTTGGAGAGCATTAGCCAATTCAATCTTCAAAGTCTTGTTTATATAGCACTGAGATGTTGAACGTTGGAGCAATATTCTTGATTCAATGCTAATAACAAACTTTCCTTATCGAGCAGATCTTGTCTGGAATGAGGCCGTTGGTATTAATTTGCTTTCAATGCATAGTACCGTTGCTTACTTAATGCAAGTTCTGGCTTGGCTCATTCTGACTCTGCTTAGTTGCTGATGAACTGTTGTGTTTCTTTATCAGAGTGTTAAGCGCAGTTCTGTTCATCAGACTTCAGCATATACGTGAGTTGATCTTCTGATTCTGACATTCTGATATGGCAACTTCTGATGCTGATGTCAGGAACCAAATTTCTGATGCTGATTAGGTGTGATCTTGCTTATATCAATCAGAGTATCTGCAAATCAGAACGTAATAACTTAGGCAGCAGATAGTTCATACATGAATCACATAAATGATATATCTTTTCACTTTGTTATCATTAAAACTTAAATATAGGGTAGTAGATTCAAACTTTGTTCTAACAATCTCCCCCTTTTTGATGATGACAAAAACTAGATATTTTTAAATGAAAATAACGTGAAAAGGTATCCGAGAGATGCATCAGAGTAATAGGTTATCAAGGATAAGGAGTAAAAAGATATCAGAGTTGAGAGATACTCCCCCTGAGTTTATTACTTCCCTTTTTGATTACAAGTGTTCTTCAGGATCAGATCTTTTTGCCTTTCTTTGAACATCAGAGTATCAGAGTCTTTGACTATCAGAAGCTTTAGATCAGCATATCAGAGCAGAGCTTCAGATCAGCGTATCAGAGCTTTTCTTGTCAGAGCTTTGCTTTGGATCAGAGTATCAGAGCGGATCAGAGCTTCATAGCTTTTAGTCTTCAGAGTGTTCAGGAGCTTCCTTGTACCTGTAGACTTTAAGCAAAACAGAAAAAACATTTTCAAGTAATAGAGTTAGAATGTTTGAGAATTTCTGTCTTAGTTAACCGTTATTGTTTAAAATATCATTCTTGTTCTCCCCCTTTTTGTCAGCAATCAAAAAAGTGTAGGTGAGTGCTAAAACAATTAAGATCAGAAAAACTTGTCATATTAAAAGGGTTCAGCATCAAACAAAACATATTCAAACAGTACATCAGAAAATCAAAGAAAACATGAAAAAGACATGAATGAAAAAACTAAGGTTGAGGAGGCAAGCGTGTGAACAGGTTCTCCAGCATGGCTTTGATCTGATCAGCAGTCTCATTCTGCTTGTGCACCATGCTGACAACAGTGTCAATCTTGCTATCCTGCACATCCATTCTTTCTTTCATCTTCTGGTCGTTTTCATCCATCCTCTGCTGCAGACGCATGTCATTCAGCTTCAGTTCTTCCAGAGTCTGCCTGTCCAAGGCAGCTTGAGAAGCATCAGAAGCAGGAAGCTTCTGA